TCCACAAATTCACACAAATCTCCCCGAAACATGACACAATACTGACTCAAATCTCCCCAAAAATGACCCAAAACTCACCCAAATCTCCCCCCAAAAAAAAAAATTCCAAGACTTCTCCAGCAGGAGTGTTTTTCTTGGACGTGTGTAAACAGAGGCAAAGCTTTTTACTGCTCTGGAGAGCACAGTGTGCACGGGGGGCAGCAGGCCAAAGCCACACTCAGGGCCATTTCCCTGCAGTTCAGGGCACCTCTGCTTGCAGCACCTTGAAGTCCTGCATGGTCAGGACTTTTTCCTTTGGCTTTTCATGCACTTGGAAAGAGGTTTCAGGATCTACCAGTGAATTCAGTGAATTGTCTCAGCCAGAGAGTTTTTTGCTGACTGATATAGTCAATAGACTGGAGAAGTTTAAATTTAAAATATAAAAGAATTTATTAAAGGCAAATAAGCAAAACGGCTAGCCGGGCAACCGGAGGAAACCCTTGTTCCTGCCGCGGTTCGCAAAGGCAACAGTGAAAGACCCCCATCCTTTATACCCTTTGCAATCACCTCCCTCTCAGTCTCATGTCATTCAGTCATTGGTTTACGTTCCGCAGGCTTCACGCTGCTGGGTCTCTGTTTCGCGCGTTCTTCCCACACTGGTTTCAGTTTTGCGGGTTCCAAAATCATTGGTTTCCATTTCGCGGGCTCCTGTCCTTTTGATGAGGGGGGGCAATCGTTGATTCTGTTAGGTGATAACCTTTTTGGCCAGCCAAAAGTCCCTTTTGCAAAGATAGTAATTTCCCTTTTACGATTCTAATGATTGACCTTTTACTCCTTTCCGTATAGAGGTGCTTAAAGTAGGCACATTAAAATAACAGGATATCTTATTTAGCTTATCACTATAGAAACATAGCTATTATGGGTTAACATCATTCATAGCCAGTCTAACAGAACATAAGTTTGCGGTTTGACATTTCCGCAGCTTAAAGTCTAACAACCCGGACAAAATGTCAGTTTAAACTGTATAAGACAAAACACAATATGATTAGTAACCATTAACCCTTTCCCCTGCTAATTAATATAGCACTTGTTACCAGTCTCATTTAATAACAAGCTTAATTTGATAAGCAAATTTGAATTCGGTTTTGATCAACCATTACACTGACCTAAATGGAGCTTTTAGACCCCAGACCCACAGGGTGGGCAGTGTTTTACAAGACAAGAACGGAGTGAGCCAGGATGGATTCTCCTGTTCAGTGCACCATTGGAAGCAAGACAGAAATAAAGTAATTCAGAGCAGTACCTCAAAACACTGGGGGGAAACCCCCCTAACATTCCCTTGCTTCCCTTCTTAAAGGAAACCATGTGAGCTCTGTGTGAGCCAGGGGGCTTCGGGCTGTGGGAAAGCACCTGGAGGGATGGAGGGAGCACAGTGCTCCTCTCCTCACTCCACCACCAGTGCAGCCCTCGGGATACACGGCACCACAGCTGGGGGATGGCCCTGGGGATGCTTTGCTCCATCCTCATGGATCCTGCTGCCCCCCCATCCCACCCGGAGCCAGAATCATCTCCAGAGGGGGGATGCCAGGCACAGATGCTTGGCTGGAAGATGACACGTCCCCAGCAGCACCCAAATCCCCAGCAGCTCCGTGTTCATTCCTGCCCAGCTCAGCAGATCTGGGCATTGTTCTCCTTCTCTAATCACACCTTGGAAATGGCTCAGAATGGCAACATTTCCAGTCCCAGCTCGGTCCCTGCATGAGTCCTTGTCCCAGCCCTGCCATATGCACGAGAAATCCACGGGCACACAGGCCTTGCTTGCAGAGTTCCTGACCCAAACCCTTGCCTTTCCTGCCTAGAGCTGAGGGAAATGCGACAGAATATTAATAAATCACCTTTGCTGAGAGCAGTCATCACCCCAGTCTCTCAGGCTTTGCAGGAGTTTGTACGGAATCAACCCAAATTCGAATCCCACCTCTAAATTTCTAGCAGGTTTTGTTGGAGCGATTCTGGACCCGAAATCACTCAACAGAATTCCAGGACTGCACAAGGAATAACAGGAGGTTTTCCAAGCAGAACAGAAGTTCCTTTTTAGCCTCCTCACTCTGGGGCTGTAGGAGCCCATCTTTGCAGCCGAGGGCCCCAAGGTTCCAAGGGCCAGCCCGGGCTCTCCTGAGCCCTTGCCCCGAGCGACCTTTCTCAGCCCTGAGTCAGTTCAGCACTGACAGAGCTGCTGGGAGCTGCAATTCTCTCCGCTCCCCCTGCCTCCCTGCCTGGAAAACACCCCTCTTGCACCCCCTTCTCTTCATTACCTCCTGCAACAGAGCTGCAAACCTCCCAGATCTTTGGCTGGCTGCTCCTGGTGAAGGGAGCTGTGGGGACTGTGCTGAGGGCACGTGACACAGACCCGGGTCACAGCCCCCAAGCCCTGCCCCACGTCCCACGGCTGCAGCCGGAGTGGCCCCACAGCCCCCCATCCGGGCACGGCCCAGCCTGGGGCCACTGCCACCCACCCTCCTCCTGCCGGGGGAGCTCCTGGCACAGCCTGGCAGCCTTGGGGCACCGCTCGGAAGCTCCCTTTAGAAAATAAAAGACACAACAATCCAATGTATTTTTGGGGTATTTTTAACTTTATTTTATTTTTTGCTTTAGAAAGCCTGGCAGAACTCACCGAGGCAGTGCAAAGGCTGCCAGGATTATTTTCATCGGCATGCATTTTTTGTTGTATTTTTAAATTTTATTTTTCTTTTTATTTTAATTTTAAATTTCGTTATTATTCTCATTAAAGGCTGTGTAAGGCGGCCACGCCCCCCCGGCCGGGAGCCTTTCTTGTGACATTATCATTTGCTCCAAGGCCTCTTTGAAAGCTGATCTTGGGTGGGAGTGCAAATAATTACAGAAATATTGTTTAAAGCCAAAAATCTGTGCATCAGCACATTTCCAGAGACCAGTGTTAACAGGAGGCTCCTACCAATCCAATCCATACCCTCATGGCTCTTGGAGTTTTCATACTTCAGTCCACACCACAGGCTCTTAAGACTTCAAATTCTAAGATCCCCAGAGTGGAGACTGCCACGGAAAGCACATGGATAAGTAATGCTTCCAACAGGCTACACAGAACAAATGTCTGAAAAAGAACAATGCAAAACCAGCCCAAACCAACGCAAACACACTGCTAATGGTTATCGCCACACTAAGCACAAAGAGACACACAATGCATTAGTCCATCCTAGTTTGACAAGCTTGTCCAAAGCAGCATCTTAAAGCAATCTGCAAGCATTCTCTATAAAAATCCTTCACTATCAGCTCAGCAGCCATGGGAAAGCCTACAGTTAAGTTTATTTCCTTCCCGCCTCCCAAAATAGCTTTTGCATTAACCAGAAAAACCTCTTTTCCTAAGATCTTTTTCCATGTGCTTCTCTCAGGCAGAATACATTCCTAATTTCTAATTTTTCATCTATTTGGCAAGTTTTCCCATCATCCACACTGTGTCCTTGGAGTAACATTACCAAGTGAGGAAAAGCATTACTTTTGATAGAAATAAGACTCTTCATCCTAAAACGCTAAATTAAAGCGTACCCACTAGACACATGAAAATGCTGCAAAGAATTAATACATAAAATAGTTTATTTTCCACTCCAAGAGATCTCACAAACTTACCAGAAACAAGCTTTAAAATAAAAGACTGCCAGGTAAAGCATACGTCTACCCCTCAAAAAGAGATGGAGACTTCTTCAGACAAGATGTGCTTCTTGATAAACACTGCTGAAGGTGAACATCCATTTACATTTAATGCTACCACATTTGGGTTTGCAGTTCACTAAATACTTTCTCTCCCATAGAAACTCCTCCCATTAATGAGCAGCTTTGCCTTAACAAGGATTTGAGGACTTTGGCTTATTACAATATACCATATACTGTTTCACTGTGCACAATACAGGGAAACCAGTTGAAACTCTGGTAGGCACCTTCCATCTCTCCTAAAAACCAGAGAGAAGCAGTGCCTTAGGACATCCAAAGAATGTGAGGCGAGCTAAGAAATGGCACGGGATTCGTTTGCATCAGAAGGGTTCCACTGGTCATGCCAAGCTGCTTCTGAAGTGTCTCAGGATTCAAGTTCCTTCAGCACAGTGCCAGAAAGCTACCGATTCCTGGCAGCAGAGATCTTCCTGTATTTGTATATGAAAGCCTCTGTCTTCCCAAGACTAACCCCGTAGACACCATCCGGCACCAGAGACCCAAAATGTGTCTGTCTGCTGCTGAGAAAGGATTCTCCAACACCATCTGCCACAGAGGAAGGATTCTCATCAACACTTGGGGCTTTTGCAGTGGCTGTTTCACTGGTGCCATCAGCAGTGGCCTCAGGAGAGTCACTTCCAGCACACGTGGTCAAGCCATCCATGCGCTTTCGGAGATCTTGGCTCAGCAGCAATACAATAGTCCCTCCAACACGGAGCACTCTGGCAATTGCAGGAAAAATAAAGGTTAGTGTTCATCCCACCTGGCATTCCTTCGCCTGTGCAGAACTCCACACTGCTGACACTTCAGATGCCACTTGCATTCAATAAAACACCCGAGTGTCATGACTCAACCCGGGAAGCTACACCTCCCAATGGAATTTAAATTCCCTATCTTCACGCCTCTTCCTAAATGGGAGAAAACAGGGTGAAATGGGAGAAATGCCACCATTGTGGCATTTACACCAAACCCTAAGCATGTCAAAGCCACACGTACCTCTCCATTTCCTGGAGAATATCCGGTAGGAGCTGGGCATCATTCGTGATCTTGAACTTCTTCCCAAATGGAATATCCGAAATCACAGCGTCAAAGCTTTCTGAAGGCAACGGCAGGGCTGCAGAATAAAGGCAGGTCTTTGTCTGAAAAATGCAAAGCAGCTATGACCCCATTCCCCTTTTAGAACACTGCCAGCTCTTTTGTGGGTTTGCACCCAGATTAACACTCCTTCTGCACTTGCCCTCACAAACAGCACTACCAGTCTGCAGACTGGGAAGAGACAAACGCATGACAGCATGGTTTAGTTTGCACATTCTCTGTTACTGGTGATATGTTTGTCCCAACATAAGTCTTTGACTAGGGCACTGGATGGTCCCAAACTGCTTCTCAACACACAGTACATCTTAAATGTAAAATGCAAAATGCAAAAGAAGCTTGGGAGCACTTCACTTAGCGCAATGTTCAAATGCACACCTGTGAATGGCAAGGAACCACATTAAATTCCTCTTCAACCTCCTTTTCTCCCCCCAAGAATCTGGTTACACCCAGAATCACTTGGCATTCTGTCAGAGCTGGTGTTTTTGGAGTCTTTCCAGAGTTTCTGCACCCCAGGAACAGTCAGTTCTCCTGACCACGATGAAGCACCAGAACCTGTGGTGATAAAGATCAGCCACATACAAGGCTATGCTGGCCAGAGCATAGCCAGCATGTTAAAGTAGAAAACTATGGGTCCTCCTTCCATCAGGGTGCTCAAAACTGATGGGACAAGGCCATGAGCAATGTGACACAGCTTTGGAGTTAGCCCAACTCTCAGCAGACAACAGGACCAAAGACCTCCAACAGTCCCTTCTCACCTAAACCCTGCTGTGATTCTATGTCAACTTTTCCAGAACTAGCTGGAGATGTTTCCTGGACCATCCTTGTATCAACACTTGAAGCACAACAATTTTTATAACAACTTTGCCTGCAAAAACATAAGGATGAATCACCCACAGCCCTCCTCAAGATGTGCAGAAATAACAGCTTCTGAACAGTGATGAAGACACCAATTACTTGTTCAGTGTTAGAAAACCTGACACCTAAGTACCTTCCATTGTCCTAGAAGCCAAACTCAAACACAGTTTTTAAGAAATAAACCTATATTCTTATAAAAAATAAATAATATTTCTTATCTTCTGGTAAGAAATATCGCAAGGAAAAAAAATATGCATACTTGATCACCCATGCACAGGGATTGCCTGTCATGAATTTCATACAGGGATAATTTAGCCTTAGGCTTTGATGTCCATAATATGGTCAAAGAATTATTACCATCTCTACAGATCAGGCTGTGGATTAAGAGCAGATTCGCTCCTACAGGAGAAAGGCACCATCATGCTGAATTCATTCTGACCACAGCTCCTGGGAGCAGGCAGCAAGGTAGGGAGAACAAATAATTATCCTTTCACTAGCACTACAGAGTCACTGCTCAGCTATTCATTGGGAGTTGGCTCTACAACATATCACCTCAAGAGGACCTAATTACCTGTATAATCCCAGAACCACAAAAAATTTCTCTCGGAAAGCCTACAGACATACCTTTCACCGAAGCTTTAAGCAACTCAATCTTATCCATTAAGCCTGCAGTTCTAATATTCACATCTGCACCCTCTAACTGTGAATCACTTATATCAGCACCCCAGTAACAGGCTTCCTGTTCAGAGAGAGAGAGAGAGAGAGAAAAGTAATTTTGTTAACACTCAGGTTATTTATTTTATAAGGCCTTCTCAGCATTGCCTTGTTGCATAGCTCTTGCAAGACAACCCCCTTGTGTACCATTACACAGAGCAACTCCCAACCCAGGAGGAATGGGATAAGTATGTGCTGTCTTCACTCCTTTGATGTTCTGGTCTGCTCAAGATACTTGTAACTTCCAGAAATATCAAGGGTATGTCCTAACAGCAAGAGCCTAGCTGGCTACAGCTCTCTAATGCTGACAACTGACTGCACGGCCACACCAACTCCTCCGGTCACGCGAGAAGCCCAGGCAGCGTTACAAGTCCATGGCTACCTCACACAAACCCTGCAGTGTAAACCCAGCACTCCCCAGTCTGTAGGACGTGGTTTCACATTCCTGTACAGGAATGTTTGTACTAACACCCTTTTTGCAGCTGCCTAGAAAGATCAGTTTGGTTTCACCTTTCCAGTGATGGACTTTGGCACAACTGATACAGAGAGAACTCTGTGCCATAACTACCAGCTGTCCTGCAAAGGCCCAGTCAGCTGCAGCTGGGATACTTACAGGCCACTCTTTGGCAGCCTCCAGCAGTATCGTTCCTAGCCCGCACATGGGATCCAGCACAAAGGCACCAGCCTATAAAAACAAAGGGGTTATTGCATCCCAAGCAAGACAGACTCCTCCCTCAGGACAAATCTCAAGGATGTACATATTCCCACTGAATCTAGCACAGGTAACAATTATCGCTGGCTTACCAGGCCAAACTCACTTGTAAGAGAATATAGTAAAAAGCATCAATAACTTCACTACAGACAGTGCTTCAAGGCATCCAGCCCTGAGGTGCTATTCAGGGGCAAACATTACAAGTTGTCTGCAGACAGACATTGGTACCAAATTAATCTGTGGAAATAAATCACATTTGCTCCTGTTCTCCCTTGGGAAACAACTATAAACAAGGTTTGAAGTCTGTGCAGTGAAAAAAATCTTGCCACTTAGACATGTATTTGCATAAGGAACAACAGCTCTGCTGAGAAGGACCTGGAATTACAGCAGACACCTTGCTGAACAGCAGGTGACGGCACACTGACCACAGACAAGGCAAACCCTGTCCTCATGCATTAGAGGGTGGGGCATTAAAATCCTCACACTCCTACAAAGCCTCCAGCTCCAGCCCTGATGAGCAGCACCCCCCTTTTCCTTCATTCAGGATTCCGTATCTTTGCCAGGAACATTCACTGACACGGATTTCGGCCAGAGATGCCATGGCCCATGCAACTGTTGAGCGCAGTCCTGCTGTTTTGATATACTCTCTGTTTGCCAATGGAAGCCTGCAAACAGAAAAAAAAAAAAAGTCCGTGTAAGGTAACAGTAGAACCACCCAGAAAAGTCCATGTATAGCAAAGAACAAATGAACTGGAAAGATCTGCAGAGAGACTGAAACCAGAGTCCGCTTTAAACCATAACTCACTGCAGAGTCTGGCCTGTGTCCTCACATAGATTCCAGGCAGATCAAAAGACTAATGTGACAATCCAGTGAATATCAGACTAGAAGATGGACACAGTGGACAGCAAGACTATTTACAAATCCTGCCTGTTCTGATACTGTCAAGACAAATCTGGTGAGGAGAATGCCTACCTGAAAAGAGGAATCCCCACCACAGAGTGAATGTCATTAAGATGTACAAAGATCTAAAAGAGAAAAAAAAACACCCAAAAACATTTTAAACTCTCAACCTGACATGATAATAGCTTTAACTCGTTTAAATCAGACACAAATGTTTCTACAAACTTCCAATCCTAGTTTTTAAGAACAAAAATGCATACGTTAGGCAATTATGATTAATTGGAAGAAATCCCACTAGATAATCTGAATGCCACTTTAAAGAGGATTTAATGCTTAAGCAAGCTGGAAGGGGATTTTGTCAGCCAGGAATCCATCAACAAGCACTTGAATTTATAATGGAACCCATTTTTTTGTAACACAGTGTGGAAATTTGTAATAATGAATCCATTTATTCTAAGTGGTAGAATATTATTCATTATATACTTAACAATTCACATACCCCCCTCATTTAAATAAAAATATATTAAAAACAAACAAACAAAAAACCCCAACACTCACAGTGGAGCCAGTAAGCGACATTACAGACGGAAGGTAAACCTGAGTAATCCTTCCAGAAACACAGACAGCTCAAAGAAATTCTTCTGCTGCCACACAGGGAGCATCCCAAAAGAAGACTGGGCTCCCCAAGCAGGACTTGCATGACTACAATCCCTGCCCCCAGGAAGTCCAGAGGAAAATATGATGCTGTTGAAAAATTCTAGTCCTCAGCACTTGAATGAACAAAATCTGGGCAAGATTCAGAGCAAAATCTGGGCAAGAACAGGAGCCCTATCTAAGCCTCAACAAAGCTGTACATAATGCTCAGCCCAGGAAAACCAGCCCCAGGTTTTACAGGTCTCAGATCTCCCAGCATTAGTGCTGAGAGTGGCTTCCACAGGCCAGACACAAGGATGGAGAAACAGCTTGTCAAGAGCAACGAGTCCTTTCCAAGGTCTTCAGGAGCCTGCACCATCGAGGGTGTACTAAGCAAGCTGCTCGTCAAGGACAGGGCCCAGGGGGAGGTTCTTCCACAAATGGCATTCTCAGGTCTAGCTCCCCAAGAACGTGCCCTTGCTGCTTGCTCTCTTCCCCTACAGAGGCTAAACCAGGTGCCCCACAGCTCAGGTGATCTCCATTTGCAGGGAGTCAGAATCCAGCAGTCTGTAAGAGAGCCAGATCCTGAGACACCTCCTGTACAGATCCTTCCCCTCACGTGCAGGCCCGCGCAGCCAGGCTGGGTTTATTGTAGTGCTCTGGAAAGCACACCCACAGGGGCTATAGACACTCCTTGCTCAGTGCTATTGAGTGATTTCCAGTTAAATTCAGCAGCAGAAAGACGACCAGGAAGAGGCCACAGTCCCCATACAAAGGGAGCAGAGAACAAAACAAAAGATGCCATGGGCAGTTTGGGAAGCACCAACAGGCCGTCTGGCAGACAAGCACCACTACCTCAAGGTCAGGGTCCCGCAGATCAGCACGCCACCCACACTGCTTCATGAGTGCTATGCCAATGGCTCTTCCGATCTCCTGCAAGGAGGAAGAACAATCACAGGCAATAAAAATAACAGAATTTCCAACCGTGACTGCACAACTCAGAAATCCCATGGAAAAGAACGAGTCTCTCTTTATCCCTAGGAGAACAATTCACACAAAGACTAGAAGAGGCACAAGAGGGCAGAGCAGGTGAGTGAGGGGCAAAGCAAATATACCACAGGACAAACGACCATTACCCAACTGGAGTGAGGGAGGTTGGAGATCAAGTCCTGCCCAAGTCACAACAAAAGTTGCCACCGTTTCAGAATTCTAAATCACATACACAAAATATTTCCCAAGGCTCTAAATCAGATTACTCAACAGAAAACCTGTGAATGCACAGCCACAACTCACAATTTTAATGCTTTCATTACACCTAGAAAGCTCTGACTATCTTCAGAGTATGAGAGTTCAAACACACAAATTTGCTGGGAGGTTCATGTGTCCCACCTCTAGTGGTACTAGGTACCACTAACAGTACTAGTTTTAGTAGGAAAAAAAATCTAAACTACTGTAAGAAAAAGCTGCAAGTTTTGGCTTTTGCCCCTTCTACACTGCCACAACTGAGAGGAGTCTGGCTCCACAGTTCTTGCAATGGCCCTTTAAGTAGCTGTAAACTTATCCGATCACTCCTCAGCCTCGAGGCCCAGCTACCTCAACCTCGTACCTTCACTTATTCTCAATAAAAGGTGTAGATGTGAAAAACATTCAGGGTAGTCGTGTCCAGAAATTAACAACAGCCTTTGTATTTCCACTTGTTTAAGGTAAACGCAGGTTAAGGGCTTTTTGAGAAAATACAGAAAAGGCTTACATCAGTTTGTTATTCTAGAACATGACTCTGTTCACCTTTGCTAAATTCTTTTAAAACACAGACACTTCAGCATACCTGTGAAGTCAGTATTTTGGCAATTGCTCCACTGCAACGACAAGACACTCTGAAACTGAAGCGAAGCTGTTCATTTGCAGTACAATTCTCTCCACTGTCTTTGGAAGGGTCTTCTGAGGAAGCGCTGCTCTCAGTCCGACACTCCTGATCACTGATTCTCTCTGGCACCACACACCTCTCTCCAGCTTCCACCTGACATTCCTCAGACACAACGTCTCTCTCTTGTTTTACTTGCACTATTTGTCTCTTCTTCTGACTTTCTCTTCAGAGCCAATGGGTTTTCTCGAGCGACATCACCTTTTTTCCCCTCATATCCATGAAGGTTTCTCCAAACAGAGATAATATCCAACCAATATTTCGGTTCCTCAATTACAAGGCTTTTAATCTCATGTAGCATTTTCCCTGGAAGAAAAAAGCAGTTTTGTGCTAAGTAGTTCAGTCTCAGCATTTGATTTTTCTACAGAATGAGAACAGCTGTTAACAGAGACTGTGTTCAGACTTCCTTAATGTGTGAATCCAGGAACCAGCAGCAAACACCACAGGCACAGCTGAGCTCTCAGCACTCACGTGCCCACCAGCAGACACACAGGCATCCCTCCGATTACAAGTTCTGCACAACCAAGATTAAATCATGCAAGGGATGAATTCCGCACAAAAACTCAACAGCTCTAGAAAACCACACAACCTCCGAGAGTCATTCCCAGGGACAGAGGATCAGCCTACCACGCCATCCTCCCCAGAGAGCACTTGGTCTAGGATTAAGACATGTATGACACTTTCCAAGATTGAAAGACAGATATAAACATGAATTACTTTGATTCAGCTCAAGCAAGAAGCCACATGTTTATTCTTTCAGAAAGGAAATCCCTCCTCACATTCATCAACCTGCCTTCAATCCTGCAACACACACTTACACTTACATGTGTGGGCAGTCCTCCTGAGCTAGCTACGAGAGACACAGGCAATACAGAAGCCAATTCACCTAAATACCTCAAACCAGGTCATGAGGAATAAAAAAAAAAAAGGTCTTCCTAGTTCTCACTCAAAATTTTAGAACCATGGCCAAATTTGATCCTCAAAGCTGAAGGATATCAGTGATCTCCCAAATAAAAACCCACCAGCAGGCAGATATCAATCCATCTAACTTGACATTCTTATTCCAACACTGACAGAGAATATGACCCAAGTAGCTCAGATTTACAAGGAATCTGTGTATTGAACAAGTGATACAGGATATAGGCCTGTATCCACTTTGTCTAACAGAAAATGAGTTACTGTTAAAATGAACACAAGGGATCCAGAACTGGACTTTGGTTTCTGGGTGAGGTGTTTCTCTTATGGGAGTGGGTGAGGTGGCGGCAGTTCGTACATATACACATTCACTGCCAGCAGAGTGTAGGCTGGAAGGTATCTATTGAAAACAATTGAAAAGCCCTTTTCAGGTTAAAAGAAGATATTGAAAACATACCTGAAAGGAAGACACTTCAGAATCGATTACTGTCAATTAGAACTACAGCCGTCAGTAAAAAGATAAATACCTCAAATATAAGTTTCATTACTAGGACTCGAACTGGGGCTTCCCGTTCCCGCGCAAGCCGCGCCGGGCCGTACCTTTGTTCCCAGACACTGCCAGCGGGCTGTGCTTCTTCAGCAGCAGGAACAGCCGCTCCCCCGACCGCAGCTTCCTCAGCTCGCCCGGTCCCGCGGCCGCGCTGAAAAACACCTTTCCCGAGACGCAGTCCACCTGCGGGGAGAGCACCCCCCGGAGCCGCCGGGAAGCTGAGGGTGAGCCCCTCGCGCAGCCCCGGGGGTGGCGGGGGGACACGGCCCCGGGCGGCTCCCCCCGCCCGCGGTGCTGAGGGCGGCCCTTCCGACCGCCACCGGGCCCGGCCCCGCGGGGCCCGCGGGTGGCTCCAGGGCGGGGAACGCACGCGGCCGCGCTGCCCGCCGGGCCGCCCCGCCCCGCCCGGCCGGGCTCGGGCTCCGGCTCCAGCTCCCCGCTCACCTCCGTGGCGCCGAGCCGCGCCCGCACCTCCCGCGCGAGGAAGGGCTCGAGCCCGCGGCCCGCCGTGCAGAAGTACCGCCCGAGCCCACACGGCGACATCTCGACGCGCCCTGCCCTGCCCGGCGGGGCCTCCCCAGGGCCGGTATCCCGCACCCTGCCCTGCCCTGCCCTGCCCGGCGGGTCCTCCCCAGGGCCGGTATCCCGCACCCTGCCCTGCCCGGCGGGGCCTCCCCAGGGCCGGTATCCCGCACCCTGCCCTGCCCTGCCCGGCGGGGCCTCCCCGGGGGCGGGATCCCGGGCCCAGCCCGCCCCCTCCCCGGGGGCGGCGCCCCGGCAGCGGCAGCCGCGGAGAATGGGATTTAAAAGTGCCTGATCTATTTATACGTATCTTGCGATCACTCTCTTAATTTCCTGTTGTCAGATAACTGGTACAGCTTGTCAGCCTGTAAGTAAAATCAAATTCAAACCAATTTTTCAGCATACTCAGTATCAGATCATTGTAATTTCCCTACAATTTAGTTTCTGAGCTTCCACTTCCAAGACTGTTTAATTTATTTTTACTTTTTAAAAACATAAGCATTAATTTCCTTTTTCAAGATTTGAGACTTGATTATAGGAAGAAGTTAAAACTGGACATGTATATTGGAACAATAATTATAAATGGCTGAATATTTTAACAGTGTTTGAAATTTTAATAACTACTCTCAGGAACACAGTTATTGCTATTTGGGGACTTAAAAATAAAATGAACCAACCAGAAGGCACAGACAGAACTGTTCCAATGGTGAAAGTTAAACAGATACAAACCAGCATTCCACCTACAATTAATCCTTCTGCATTTGAACACTCTTCAAGTTATCTATAGATTTCTCTTCCAGGCAACTACATGACATTTACGTGGAGATATGGATTTAAATGGCTGACTGTGGAACACACGGCTTTTCCACTCTGGAAATTCTTTCTTGAAACGTTCCGGCTGCTCCTCCTGCAATATATTTGGTTGTTCAGGATTTATGTCAAATATCCTGAAAAAATGAGAAAAAACCCCGATCATTATAAACTGACACTTCACAGAAATGTAGACTAGATGAAGCAACTGGGGTTTTTTTCCCATGCTAGAGTAAAATTAGGCACCAGCAAGTCTATAAACCCACTATATTTTAGGTTAATACTCAGGGTTTCGTTGTTCATCCTGCAATATAGAATGGTATTCCTTTTACACAATGGTTAATAATTCACTGGATATACTAAAAAGCTACCCACTTTACCTCAGTCTCCTAAAACTGTGACTTTACAGGTGGCACAAAGCAGAGAAGAGCAGAGTTCCATGCTTCAAACTTAAAGCATAAGAAATTTCAGGGCCCCGAGGTTATCTGAACAGACTGTGATGCACTACTCGTATGCTGCAGGGTTTGAAATGTCAGCATGGAACCAGAGTGTCCAAACCCAAACCACGTTTTGAGTTTGACAGTGTAGGCACTGAGCATAATTCAAATACTATGTTTGTGTAATTCGTTATAAATTAAAAGCATTTGTGTTCCTGTGACCTAACTCTGGTATAACACTCACTGTGACAAGGGTACATCATGATCTCCCAACACTCATTTCTAACATCAGCATGTTACTCATATCCAAAATTTAAATCCTGGCATCCATCCCTTACCTGTAGCTGTTGCACGTATACAGCGTCAGGTATTACAGGTCTTTGAGTTTATCTCCTTCAAATGAAAACTTGTGGAAGAAATTACCATGGCTTTTGTCTTAAGTTTTTTATGAATATTCATACTTATGATTCCTTCAAGAAATTAGTTTGTTTTTATTGCATCCTCCTTTGTCTGTCCCACACGTCCCAGGTGTCCCCCAAAGGGACGCCATGTCCCCCCCCGCTCCCCCCTTTATCTCTCCCACACACCTCAGTGGGACGCCATGTTCCCCCCGCTCCCCCCTTTATCTCTCCCACACGCCTCAGTGGGACGCCATGTTCCCCCTCTGCTCCCCCCTTTATGTCTCCCACACGCCTCAGTGGGGCGCCATGTTCCCCGTCTGCTCCCCCCTTTATGTCTCCCACACGCCTCAGTGGGGCGCCATGTTCCCCGTCTGCTCCTCCCTTTATGTCTCCCACACGCCTCAGTGGGGCGCCATGTTCCCCGTCTGCTCCTCCCTTTATCTCTCCCACACGCCCCAGTGGGACGCCATGTTCCCCCTCTGCTCCCCCGTTCCCCCTTCGTGCCGGGCCAGGGCGCCGCCCGGCGGCCGCCCGCGGTACCGCTGCGCGTGCGCGGGGCGCGGGGCCGTTTCCATGGCAGCGGGAGCCAACAGGGAGGCGCCGCCATGAGCCCGCCCGAGGTGGAGTCGCTCGTGTGCCAGAAGTACGAGATCAAGAGGCGCCTGGGCAAGGGGGTGAGTGCCCGGGGGCCCGTGGGAGCTCGTCGGGCCCGTGGGAGCTCGTCGGGCCCGTGGGAGCTCGTCGGGCCCGTGTGGAGTTCGGGGCCCTGTGTGAGCTCCAGGTGGCCCGGGGAGCTGAGGAGCCCCAGGCGAGTTCAGGTGCCTGTGGGAGCTCAGGGATCCTGTCTGGAGCTCAGGGCTCCGTGGGAGCTCCAGGTGACCCGGGGGAACTCGGGGGGAGGGGCATGGGAGCTCGGAAGTAAATGGTAAAATGGATCCGAGTCTCAAAGTACATTCTCTCTGTGCCTGCCAAATCTTTCTGCATTTCCTGTAACCCTCTCACTTCACAGGTCATGCTGCATCAAGTCACGTCTTCTCCGTGAAATATATTTCTGTTCATGAGCCAGTGGTAATATCCAAGATATTTCTCCTCAGACAGTCTCCAAACCTTCCTCAATTATCTGCATTTCTATTCTGGCAGCTCTTTGTCGTTGTTTAGTTGCATTGATATGAGTGTTTAAGTATTTCATGTGCAATTACAAGGGGTCATGTGAGAGAGAGGGCCATTTGCTTCATAGAATTATGAAATCATTTGGGTTGGAAAAGCCTCTGAGCCCATTGAGTCCAGCCACTCCCCCGGCACTGCCAAGGCCTCCACTAACCCCTGTCTCCAAGTGCCACATCCACACAGCTGTTAAATCCCTCCAGGGATGGGAACTCCACCCTTGCCCTGTGCAGCCTGGGCCAGGCCTGGACAGCCCTTTCCATGAGGAATTTTCTCCATGTCCAACCTAAACCTCCCCGGCACAATTTGAGGCTGTTTCCTCTTGTCCTGTCACTTGGAGTGTTACTTGGAGAAAAAAGATAAATCCCAGTTGCCAACAGGGAAGTACTGTAGCACTTACCTGAGGTACTTGTACAACTGCCTGATGCATGGCAAATGTCCTGAACCTATGCTCCAGGACCACACATGTTCCTGGGAAGTCTGCCTCAATGTCATGATACTCACTGTAAGAGTATTTAATCACTAGAGTCACTCACTATCACATATTGCAGCTGTTTTGCTTTGTACAAATACTTAAACATTAACTGGGCCTTTCTAAATGGGGCATGATCCCCTCGTGCAGAGGTAAAGCAGCTCCTAGAATGTGGAAAGTCAAGGTGCAAATCCATGACCTAAAATAAGAAAATGGGATCTCTACCACAAGTAAGACTGAGCAATCACCATTTGCAAGTATCACAGTCATCCAGAACAGGGAAAACTCTGGTAGAAGTTCCCATTCCCCTAATAGATAGTACAGTTTTTAATGAAAAAAAAAAAAAGGTTTAATGTTGGACCTGGCAGTGCTGCATTAGTGGTTGGACCCCATGGTCTCGGAGGGCTTTTCCAACCTCAGCAATTCTGTGATGCTGTGATACCGTTACTACAGATGTTGGTAACAAGTCTCTCTCCATCCTTCTTTTCAGCCCCCTTTAAGTATTGAAAGGCCACAATAAGGTCTCCCTGGAGCCTTTTCTTCTCCAGGCGAACACCCCCAGCTGTCCCAGCCTGGCTCCAGAGCAGAGGGGCTCCAGCCCTCGGAGAATCTCCATGGCCTCCTCTGGACCTGCTCAAGCTGGTCCATGTCTTTCTTGTACTGAGGAGCTCCAAGCTGGATGCAGTGCTCCAGGTGGGATCTCACCAAACTTGAGTACAGGGGAAGAATTACCTCTCTCAACCTGCTGGCCACACTGTTGCTGGCACAGGCCAGGTGCCATTGGCCTCTTGCCCACCTGGGTACACCTGAGCTCCTGTTCAGCCACTGTAACCATCACCTCTAGGTTCTTTTCCAGCTTTCCAGCTGCTCTGTCCCAAGGCCTGAGCATTTCATGGGCTTGTTGTGACCCAAGGGCAGGACCCAGCACTTGACCTTGTGGATCCTCACACCACTGGCTTTGGCTCATCGATTCCCTCCGATTGATCCAGCCTTCCCAGACACCCCTGCAGAGGTTTCTGCCCTCTGGCAGATCCACACTCCCACCCAGTCTGGTGTCCTCTGCAAACTGACTGAAGTGCCCTCAATCCCCTTGTCCAGAGAGTCAATAAAGCCATTAAACAGGGCTGGCCCCAGTACTGAGCCTGGGGAACCCCACTGGTGCCCAGCCCCGTTTCCCACCAGTCTCTGGGACCGGCCATCAGCCGGGTGTTACCGAGCAAACAGTGCGCCTGTCCAGGCCAGGAGCAGCCAGGTTCTCCTGGAGAATGTTGTAGGAAACGCTGTCAGAGCTTTACTAGAGTCCAGGCAGACACATTCACAGCCTTTCCCTCAGCCACTGAGGGGGTGACCCTGTCACAGAGGGAGATTGGGTTAGTCAGGCAGTACCTGCCTGTGCCAACCCCAGGCTGGCTGGGCCTGATCCCCTGGTTGTCCTTCTTTTGATGCAGCCCAGGACATGATTGACTCTCTGGGCTGCTAGTGCATGTTGTCAGCTCACATCCAGTTTTTCATCCACCAGCACCCCCAAGTCCTTCTCAGGACCAGTCTCCATCCACAGAATCATGGAAACACAGAATGGTTTGGGTGGGAAGTAACCTTAAAGATCATCTCATTTCACCCCCTTGCCATAGGCAAGAACACCTTTCACTAGACCAGTTTGCTCAGAGCCCCATCCAACCTGACCTTGGACACTTCCAGGGATGGGGCAGCTACAGTTTCTCCAGGAAATCCATTCCAGTCTCTCACTACACTCACTGGCAAAGGTTTCTTCCCAATATCCCATGTCTATCCCTGCTTTTCTAGTAGGAATCCCTTCCCCCTTGTCCTGTCCCTCCATCCCTTGTCCAAAGTCCCCCTCCAGCTCTCCTGGAGCCCCTTTAGGCACTGGGAAGGTTCTAAGGTCTCCCCGGAGCCTTCTCCAGGCTGGAAGGTCCCAGCTCTCCCAGCCTTGCTCCAGAGCAGAGGGGCCTGATCTCTCTCTCTCTCTTCCAGGTAGCGAGTGATCACCTCTCTTCCAGTCCTTTGTTGAGTCCATTCTGGCTCCGCTGCAGGCCTGAGCTGGGACAGGGTGTCAGCACACTGCTCACCTGTCTGTGCTTCTCCCCAGGCCTACGGCATCGTCTGGAAAGCAATCGACCGCAGGACAGGAGAAATAGTTGCTGTTAAAAAGATTTTTGATGCTTTCAGGAACAGGACGGATGCTCAGGTGAGAAATCATTGTCCTGATGTGTTGTGAGATGTGGTGGGATTCCCTAGGTATTTTCAAGAGTTTTGTCTCTGAAAGATGATAATTATGCATGTAATAATACAGTCTGCAGCTATACTGGGATAAAAAGGAACAATAAATGTCAGGCTTTGTGTATCACGGCATCTACAAAAGAGGAGTGGATTTAACCCTCTCATTGAAGTGCATCCCTTGCCATTCTCTTGAGGTGATAATAAACTACTTTTTCTTTATTTCCAGAGAACATTTCGAGAGATTATGTTCCTGCAGGTAATGTCCATGTTCCTCCTCCACTCTGATTTTTTTTATCTCTGATGTCCACATATTTTCTTCCCATTGTTTTCCAAAATGCAGTGATCAATGATTAGTGTTGACAACTCTTTAATTTTTTTTCTGCACCATCTTGGCAAAGAGCCTTTCAGGGCAAACCCACCTGAATGAAACACTCTCCATTTGCGCTTGTTTTTACTCTTTCCTGCTCTTTCCACATTTTTAGCAATGTGTCTCCTGCAGCATCAACAGGTAGACTTTCTGTCACTTCTTGCTTCTTTACGGACATAAACTGTTTCTCTTACATTTTAACTGCCATGATCAGAGGGGGGCTGGGGTGGGGGATGCCAAATTTACTTTTCCCCATCATGTGGGAAGCAATTTGATCACTTAAAATAACCAAAGCAAAACAAAAAGGGAAGATCTGCAAGGAGTAACTTAAAGCTGCTCTTGTGATATAATTGACCTTATCAGTGGCGTTATAATTATTTGTCCATGTAGAAACATCAATATTTTGAAATAATGTTATTTCTAAGGACACAAGTGAGACAGGGCTCATGGAATAGGTATTTCCTAAGACTGCCAACTTTAAGTAGTAAAGAGATGAGGGTTTTTTACTTTTTAGTCATTCCTGAAGCCTCAAATAGAAGCTGCAAACTTAAAAGCTAAAAATATAAACAATTCCTTAGAAGTGAATTACCTGTAAGTTAGATCATCTCTGAAAGTGCAGCACTTCTGGAGCAGATGGGTGGAGGAGGAGCAGGGAAAAGAAGGATATTTCTCCTGAAGGAAAGACGGAGTCATTTGGCAGCAGGGGGCTGGGGAGGGAAGTTAATGTGCTGTTCAGCCTGTACTTCCATGACTTTTGGGGCTCAACAGACTAAAGAATTTTAGTTTCCCCTCCTATTTTATACATCTTTCTTGAGGTTCAAGACTGAGGGATCAGAAAGGAATTTGTTTTAAGTGGTATAGAGGGATTTTTAGAACCAATGTTTCAGTCAACAGAGATTATTTTTCAGATTAACTGGCTGGTTTCATACTATGGAAGAAGCTTAAATTCTTTTTTCAAGTTTATTTCAGAAGAAGCCTAATCGAGGAAACAGCATGTTAATGTTTGTTCTCGACAATAATACAAACTAAAGTAGGTTATTGTCCCTTTTTATGATTCACAAGCAAAACATGTGATTTTGACAGCTGGGTCTCTTCCCTGCACAGGAATTTGGAGAACATCCAAATATCATCAAGCTGCTCGATGTTATCCAAGCTGAGAATGACAAGGATATCTACCTCATCTTCGAGTCCATGGGTGAGACTCAGCATTGCAGCAGCCACTCAAATCCAGCCTCTCTTTGGAGTTATCCTTATTCCCACTTTGATAGTGGTGTGCTGGTGATTTACATGAACATTCATGTATTATTGATCTTTACTGATGTAAATATATTACTGCTGTAATATATTACAGAGACAGATTTACATGCTGTTATTAAGAAGGGGAATTTGCTGAAAGACATCCACAAGTGTTACATTCTCTACCAGCTCCTGAAGGCAACTAAATTCATCCACTCGGGGAATGTCATTCACAGGGATCAGAAGGTACATTTCAGTCATTGTCTGTATCCTTCACTCCAGTTTTCTGTCAAACACTAAATAAAATCACAGACTGATTTGAGGTGGAAGGGACCTTTTAAAGGTCAGCCAGTCCCACTCCTCTGCCATGGGCAGGGACACCTTCCACTATCCCAGGTCGCTTTAAGCCCCATCCAACCTGGCCTTGGACACTTCCAGGGATGGGGCAGCCACAGCTTCTCTGGGCAACCTGGGCCAGGGCCTCACCATCCTCACATGGAGGAATTTCTTCCCAGTATCCCATCTAACCCTGCCCTCTGTCCGTGGGAAGCCATTGCCCTTTTTCCTGTCCCTCCAGGCTCATGTCCAAAATCCCTCTCCATCTCTCCTGGAGCCCCTTTAGGCACTGGAAGGAACTCTAAGGTCTTCCGAGAGCCTCTTCTTCTCCAGGCTGAACACCCCCAGCTCTCCCAGCCTGGCTCCATAGGAAAAGTGTGAAAAAGTATGCAAGCATGAGACTAATAACAGAACCTCGATAATATTCTTCTACTATTGAGAGCGTCAGAAGCCAGTTAATTCTCCTGTGTTCAACGCAGCCTTCCAATATCCTGCTGGATGCAGAGTGCCGTGTGAAGCTGTGTGACTTCGGGCTGGCCCGCTCCCTGTGCCAGCAGGGCGAGGAGCAGCCCAGCCCCGCGCTGACCGAGTACGTGGCCACGCGCTGGTACCGCGCCCCCGAGATCCTGCTGGCCTCTCGCAGGTGAGCGAAGGGATGGGAGCCAGTAACTTCTTCACCTCTGGGAAAATCCATTGTCTAAAAGTCTTAAATGGGTCAGGTTTGGATGTCACTGGATGCAATGTCGTGTCAGTCTGTTTTCTCAATGTACATTTCAACTTCAGTTCTGCAACATAAAAACTCTCATGTTTTTATGTACACGTCCTTCCTCTGTTCTTAGAGTGTTCATATACGTATGTGAGCAGCTTAGCTGTTTGTCACCCTTTCTCCCACTAGACTTATTCTTTCTCCCTTTAAACCCACATCTTTACAAAATTTGCTTGAGAACATAAGTCCTCCTTTCAAAATTGAAGGAGTGGTTTTTGATAGATCTTCAGGAAATACTCTGTAATCAAACATTAAACCAGCTGCCTGTTAGTCAGGCTTAGTCCCTTTCTTGACTTAAAGATGAAAAATCAGAAAAGTAAATAAATAGAGGCTGAGGTAGTATCCCGAATTTAAATGTGGATGTTTTGCAAACTGTCCTATACCCATTGTCTGGTGTTTACTTTGCTTAAAAATGTAAATTTTACTACTTTATACATACATTATGCCTTGAAAAGTCAGTTGTTTCCAAAGATCAACATGTATCTTCATTCTTGGTCATATGAAAAGGATATATTACCTTTTTCTGGCATTACCTTTTATATATTGCCTTGTTCTAGCATTTCTCTGTTATATATTTCCTTTTATGGTTTCCTAGACTAGCCTTTGAGTAGGCTAAATCTCTTTTCTGTTTGATGCTTGCCAGTCTCATGATTCCCAAATGTCATTCAATTTATAGTTCAAATGTGAGCATTCGTATCTGAGAAGTCTCCAAGCATGTTTTCTAGCAAAATAGATCAATGTAGGTGATGTGAATAGCAGGTACAGGAAAATACTTGCTTGATTTAACCCTAACTCTGTTCTGTTCCTGTTTATAGTTACACTAAAGGTGTAGACATGTGGAGCATTGGCTGTATTCTGGGAGAGATGCTGCTTGGGAAGCCTCTTTTCCCTGGAACATCAACAATGAATCAAATAGAGCAGATCCTAAGGGTCATCCCTGCTCCGTCCCCAGAAGGTAGGACTCTGCTGCGGGGAAAGGGATTTAGAAAAGGGATTAAAGAGGGGAAGAAAGCAGCCCAGATGGATAACAGGAGAAGGTATTTCTTGTGGGTCATTCTGGCACCTTTCCAAGGAAATTAGAGACTTAATTGTGAATGTTAGTGTTAGAAGAAAATAAGAAATTCAGATATCTTGGTGCCTCTGCCTCTGTGGGTATGAGAGTGCAGGTTTATGAAGTCTATGATTAAATACAAATTCAGAAATAATCTTAGAAAATTTGTAAGTAAATATTCCATTCCCCTTCCACAGATCTCCCATTATGTGTTATGAGAGTAATTTTCTATGCTAACATCAAATAATATTTGCTTTCCTTCCTAAACTGTGTAGCTCTCTGAGGAAATCCTCATCTTGGCATTAAGAGTCCCTTTTTATTATTGCAGATATTTTGGCTCTGCAGTCAGAGTACAAGGCCTCAGTTATTAACCACGTGAGCTCCCGGTAAGCCTGGGGGGGGGTGTCTCAGATCACCTACTGTATGTCCATGGAATCGTGGAATCCCAGAATGGTTTGGGTGGGAAGTGACCTTCAAGACCATCCAGTGCCACCCCCTGCCATGGGCAGGGACACCTTCCACTATCCCAGGTTGCTCTAAGCCCTGTCCAACCTGGTCTGGAACACTTCCAGGGGTGGGGCAGCCACCATTTCTCCAGGAAATCCATTCCAGTCACTCCTTATCCTCACAGGCAAGGATTTCTTCCCAATATCCCATTTTAATCTCCACTTTTCCAGTGGGAAACCCGTCCTCTTGTCCTGTCACTCCCAGCCCTTGTCCAGAGTTGCTCTCTTGGAGCTCCTTTAGGCAGTGGAAGGGACTCTAAGGTCTCTTCTTAAATAGAAATTATTTAAAATATAAGTAAGATTTGGGTTTTAAAACTGATATTTCAAATGTATAAGATACTCTCTTGTTGATTATGTTCACAATTATATTTAGGGTTCCAAAATGCAAAACCAGATTATCAAACTTCATCTTCTCATTGCAAATTACACAGAAATGTGTTTCTGTGGTCTCAGGTCTGAATTTGTGGGATCGTGGGGCTAGCAAGAGATGAGCTTCAAGGTCCCTTCCCACCCAAACCATTCCAGGATCCAGTGATTATCTTTGTGAGTGAACTCTGGGGTCAGATGTCACCTTGGCATGATCCCTGTAACTGTCATTCCTGCCTTCACGGGGAATTGGACACTGGGAACTCATATTATTGTTTTCTGTCTTCTAGGCAGCGAGTAACATTTGAGGAGATTTTCCCATCCTCTACTCCACTACCTGCCTTGGATCTGCTGAAGAAACTTCTGGTATTTAACCCTGACAAACGGCTCACAGCAGAGGAGGCTCTGCAGCATCCTTATGTGAACAGGTGAGAGTGACACCAGTGTGCAGCTTCCCCTGATGTCTTCTGAGACATTACAAACCTGTTCTGGCACAAGTCTTCTTTAAATGCATTACAGAAAAAAACCCCAAAGCTAATTCTTCATTTTCTCCAACCCTATTTACATGAGATTGTTTAACAATCCTGTTTAAATAGTGTTAGTCTGTGGTGCTGCTTTCAGGCAGTGAATTACATGATGTGTTCTCATCTCTTTAGATTCCACTGTCCTTCCAGGGAGCCCTCTTTGGATTATAACGTGGTCCTTCCTTTGGGTGATGATGTCCAGCTGTCTGTGGCAGAATATCGAAATAAATTATATGAGGTACTTTCATCCTGTTTTCCCAAATCCTAATCCTCCAGGTAACCTTCCATTCTTGCACACACTTAACAAATTCTGTTGTCTTGTCTTTGTATTTCCCTGGGCCGTCCATACCTGCTGACACAGTTACACCTCAGTATTTGGTCGGTCAGTTCCATACTGTCAGAATCTTTTAGAGACCTTTAAATCTAAATTCCCTTTGGGAAAGGAAAAGTCTCTGAAGCATGATGTCTGAGAAAGACTGGGTTAGAGGGAAATATACTATGCTGGATCCAACAGCCACAGAATCATAGAATCATAGAATGGTTAGGGTTGGAAGGGAGCTTAAAGATCATCTAGTTCCAAAATTATACTTGTTACTGTGAAATAAATTCCAGATATTTACAAGTATTCCTCTTTGTTTTGATGTTTTGTTCCTCTGCTGTATTGCTGCATTAAGTCTAGCCAGCTTTTCTGTTCTGCAGTTGATCCTTGAAAAAAAATCAAGGAGCCTTCTAAAGGAGCGAGGGCGGAGAGAAAACATTCAGCTGAGCCAGTCTGAATCCAGCCCACTGCTCCCAAACTTCAGCTCAGTGACTGTACCCACCAGAAAAGTCCAGCAAGAACCAGCACCTCCTCTCCTAAACCCTTCACATGTGCATGCAGGAACCACAGCTGGAGTCCAGCCAACAGGATCCAGCCAGAGCAAGGATTTGGCCAGAACTGTGTGTCAGAGATCACAGATCAGTGTGATGATGTACAACCCCATCACACACACCACTGTGCAGAGTAGGTACCACCCTCCTACACCAGGATGTGACACACCATGGGGCATTGTTGTGGGGAAGAGAGACAATTTGCATGGTAAAACGAGGGGGTGAAAGTGTGGGAGGAAAATGACATAAGAACAAAACATTGTTGAATGAGTGTTGGGTGTGTGACTGTTCCTGCCTCAGTCAGGGTGTTCTGTGTCCTCATGATTTTCTTTCTTTCTCTCATGTTTTTCCTTCTGCAGGGAATGCAAATCCTGGTGCTGGGATCAGGAACTTTTCTGCACCACCTCAACAGCCCAGAATCTCCAACAATGGGAAACTAGGGAGACAAATCTCATGGACAAACACTGGGCTTCCTCCTACAAGCGTGCAGAACCTTTACAATGTGAGTAGCTTAACTTCTAACCCTTACCTGTGGTAACTTGGGTCACAACAACTCCCTGCGGTGCTCCAGGCTTGGGATAGAGTGGCTGGAAAGCTGGAAAAGTTCCTGGGGGTGCTGGTGACAGGGGCTGAACATGAGCCCGGGTGTGCCCAGGTGGGTAAGAAGCCAGTGGCTCCTGGCTTGTAGCAGGCACAGTGTGGCCACAGGCCCGGGGCAGAGCCTGTCCCCTGTGCTGGCACTGCTGAGGCACCTCCAGTCCTGAGGGCAGTTTTGGCCTCCTCACGACAAGAAAGACATTGAGGAGCGCGTCTTTCACGCGCCTCAGTGGAAGAGAGTGGAGCTGGGGAAGGGGCTGGAGCACCAGGAGCAGCTGAGGGAGCGGAGGGGCTCAGCCTGGAGAAAAGGACGCTCAGGGAGGACCTTCTCACTCTCTCCAACCCCCTGACAGGAGGGAGGAACCAGGTGGAGGTCAGGCTCTGCTCCTGGGGAACAAGGGACAGGACAAGAGGAAGTGGCCTCAAGTTGTGCCAGGGGAGGTTCAGGTTGGATATTGGGAAAAATTCCTTCATGGAAAGGGCTGTCCAGGCCTGGCACAGGTTGCCCAGGGCAGTGGTGGAGTTCCCATCTCTGGAGGAGTTTAACAGCCATGTGGATGTTGCACCTGGGGATGTGGGTTAGTTGTGGCTTTGGCTGCTTGGGGAGCAGCTGGACTTGGGCTCAGAGGACTTTTCCAACCCAAACAATTATGTGACTTGATGATTCCATGATTCTAATGGATTGCTGTTACTGAGCAAGGTGTCAGTCCTGTCCTCTCTGCTCCTCTCTCTTCCTGGTTCTTGGCCATGCTTCCTTGTAAAAGTCCTTACCCTCGGTAGGTTCTTTAATTACTTCTTGCTCCTGCTTTTTCTGTTCCTGAACTGGCTGGCTGTTGCCTGGTGACTTGTGGCACTTGCACAAGTGATCAGAGGAAGCTTATTGGCAGAGTATGGAAGGAGGCACCACAGATTCATAGTATCACAGAATCACAGACTGGTTTGGGTTGGCAGGGACCTTAAAACTCATCTCATTCCACCCCTCTGCCATGGGCAGGGACACCTTTCATTAGCCCACATTGCCAGAAATTCCAAGCATGTCCAGGAGCCCACTTGCAACTCACCTTTCAACCCCTCTGCTTTGGAATCCTGTCCAAAATGGATAGGTTTTGGGAGTGAGAGGAGCCAATCCCCAAATGGGATTGTGGAGCTTGATGTGCATGCATGTGTACACATGACCAACGAATTTGGAAAAATCTTCAGGGAATTGTGACCAACTTTCTGTGACAGGAAGAGCAGAATAGGGAGAAGATCAGCCAACATGTGCTCTGAGCTTTGTGTTTGTTCACTGGAAGGGTAATGCTGACAAAAGCCAAACCTGTGTCCTATTTGTGTTCCAGAAAGCTGATTCCAGGTTATTAACTTATCTTGGCTTTTCTTTCTCACATAGAATCCCAGAAACTCCCAGTGTCACAGCAAAGATGTTCGTCCCCTTCTGAAGCCCAGTAAAAAGATGTTCCAGATCACTGCAAACGTGGGAGCTGCGGGTGATCCAAGAGCCTCGATGGGCAGCTACTCCCAGGCCTATGGAACCATCAGTAAATCTGCGCTGCAGAGTCTTCCGATAGCAAAGGCCTCCCAAAAGCCCGAGCAGTGAATGTGGAGATGTTCCAGCCAGGTGAAGTACAGCTCATCCCTCAGCCCCTGACTGAGCAGGGACAACAAGAGAGAGCAAAATATGAGGAAATGCTTTAGTCACAGCATGGGACAATATCCTCCTTTCCTCTGGACAAGCCAACAGGAAAGGGAATCCAACCCATCTGCCTTCCAGTCTCACCAGACGAGGGCACAGCATGTTTGCTCCCACACTTGTGAGAACAGTGAACACTGTCAGTTCATGCTTCTTGTTTGAATTGTCATAAAAAAATTACAGAAAACTGCAATATTCTAATACTTGAGTGGTTTTAGACATATTCAGGGCCCAGGGGAACCTCCTGAATTTCAGCAAGGCCAAGTGCGAGGCCAAGAAAATGCTCTGAGGGCTGGAGCCCCTCTCCTCTGGAGCCAGGCTGGGAGAGCTGGGGGTGTTCAGCCTGGACAAGAGAAGGCTCCAGGGAGACCTTGGAGCCCCTTCCAGAGCCTAAAGGGGCTCCAGGAGAGCTGGAGAGGGACTTGGGACAAAGGCCTGGAGTGACAGGGAAAAGGTCAATGGCTTCCCACAGACAGAGGGCAGGGTTAGATGGGATACTGGGAAGGAATTCTTCCATGTGAGGATGGTGAGGTCCTGGCACAGGTTGCCCAGAGAAGCTGTGGCTGCCCCATCCCTGGAAGTGTCCAAGGCCAGGTCGAAAGGGGCTTGGGGGAACTTGGTCTACTGGAAGGTGTCCCTGCCTATGGCAGGAGAGTGGGACAGGATGACCTTTAAAAGGTCCCTTCCAAGCCATTCCAGGATTCTTCAGCAGTCTACCTAAATGTGGATTGGTTTTGAACAGAGCAGGTAACTGTTCTCTGAAGGCCGTGGAGATCAAACTCTTCACAGATCTTACAGCCCTTCATTCTGATTTCCACTCATTTCTGTGACTCTTCTGGGGTAAATAAACAAAACCATTGTGGTTTATTTTTGATAAAATCAAGTAGGAAAGCATTTGAAACACAGGTGGGCTCTGCTACAATATCTCACAGCTTCCCTACCATGTAATATTGTAAATATTGCACTAATAAATAGTTTATATTGCACCACAAAAAATCTTTGTCTTTCAGTCAGCGTTCACTGTGTTGAGAGAGAAAGTACCTGTTGGTAAGGCTGTCTTCAATGAATAATTGGTCTTTTTTTGTTTTGTTTTTGCTTTAAGAAAGCAGAGTTCCATGAGATACTATTGCTGAGACATCGTGAAGGTGTTACCAGGCTACAGTGGGACTACAGGAAACTTTATATTCCTGTTTTAATGTGGATTTTGGATACATTCTCCTCATTAACTTGAAGTTCTTGTCTGTGTCCCTGGAGTTTTACTCCACCTGTGATAAATGATTGTTATTCCAGAACATTGGAACTACAGTTACCAAGGGGATTCAGGTGCTGAATTCCAGCATGTGAGTACCACTGCCATTGGCTGAATTGCCATTTTATCCTCTAGTGTCTAAACGCCCAAGGCTACTTAATTAAAAATTAATGCCTTCCCCTTGGTGACAGATGTGGTCACTGGAGTCTGGTAACAGGAGGGAGCCAGGAAGTGCAGCTCACAGGGAAGTCCAGGCTCATTGTGGTATATTCATAGTACAGGTGTTTCCTGCCTGTCTGAGGTACAGGGAGATGTAGGAGTGGCAGTGCCAGGTGAGCCTGTGGTGTGGGCAGAGCTCTGAGCAGTGGGTTGGCTCCCGAGAGTCCAAATGCTGGTTGTGAGGCATTTGAGAGAGAAGGGCACCCAATTCCAGCTGTGACCTCCCCTGGATCCTGGCCCCTCACAGCATGACAGCCAAGGTCCTCTGTGACCCCCATCCCAGACTGAGCAGCTGGGCTGGAACACCAACAAGTTGTTCTTACAGTGACTTTAGTTGCTGCCAAGGGAATTGGTTCTTCTGCAGTAGTTGGTTGTGCCACCTGCAGCAACCAGTCACCTACCTGTCACCAGCAGAGCTGTGTCACTCGGGCTCTGGGCAGAAGCACATGTTCCACCTGAGCAAGAGAAAATCCTAAACATCTAAGTAAGTACAGCAAAATTCTAAATTGCTGATGTAGCCTGTCACTGCAGAAATAAATTCCAAATTTGTCTGTTACAGAACAAGGCTGGAGCAGGTGGGTTTGGGAAGGGTTGGGGAGGTGTGGAATGATGTAAGAATTGCACAAACAGAGCTAGAATATATATGCACATACCTCTCTAGAGTAAAATAATCTGTATTGGCTGACAGAGAACAACTGTCGGCCACTGCAGTTCACTTTGGGACCCATCAATAACTCAATCTGACTGATTAATCAGAGCAGACAAAATAACTCATTTATGGCTGTGGACATGTATAAAAGATCATGGGCTGTATCTGAGATGGGTCACAATGTTCAGTTTTAAACTAAAAGAGGAGATATTTAGAAAAGATATTGTGAAGAAATTCTTCCCTGTGAGGGTGCTGAGCTCCTGGCAACAGGTTTCCCAGAGAAGCTGTGGCTGCCCCATCCCTGGAAGTGTCCAAGGCAGGCTGGATGGGGCTTGGAGCAACCTGGGCTAGTGGGAGGTGTCCCTGCCCATGGCAGGGGGTGGGGCCAGATGGTCTTTAAGGTCTCTTCCCACACAAACCATCCTGTGATTTTGTGATAATATGAAATGGATATAAGAAATCCATTTCTACTTTTTTCCCAATTTTGGCCCCTTTTCCCATCCTTTTTTTCCTCTTTTTTCCTCTCCTAATTTTATTGCTCAGTGTACCTCCTCATGTTACAACAAAGCTGCTCTTGATTCCTGCAGATTTTTACCACCATTTGTATTAAAATGGAAAGCAGCCTTAATTTTTTTTTTCAGATCAGACAGTCGTTCTGCACATCCAGTTCCCAAGGTTTTCAGCAAACAATAAAATAATCATTAACTGTTATAAATATTGAAGTCCAGCTTGCTGCCCTGGGAGCTGGCATCCCAGGAAAAGTTCAAGTTTCAAAGACTCCACTAGTGCCGTGGGCAGCCTATGTCAGGACTGGACAATCCTTTCCAGGGTTTTGGAAGGAATTTTCCAAATATCCAACCTAAACCTCCCCTGGCACAACTTGAGGCTGTTTCCTCAAGCCGAAAAGGCCTCCTAAAACCAGGCCCATCTCCATCAATAGCACTTCAATGTCCTTTTTATGGCCTTTTCAGCTGCTCCTTCAGCTGAGTCCTTAAAGCAAATGATTCCCTACACACAGGAGAACAAACCTCAAGCAAACCAGATCCCACAGGCTCAGGAACTGGTAAATACAAAAGCTAGGCCTGTGCCGCTGGACAAGACCGGAGTCACAGATTAGGGCAAAAAGTTGGTTACAATATTTTTTTGGTCTGTAAACCTTCAAAAAGATGCTCCTGTGACTGATTCATTGTGAGCTACAGAGAAAGGACAACTGTACCTGAGAAACAACAGGCTTTAAACACTTTTTTCAGTTAATGTATGTGTGTCTCTGTGTGTATTTATCTCCCCTGACCTGAACTCAAGTATTGAATTTTCTATTTTTTATTCTTTTCTTCCGAAAGTAGAATTGTTTTGTCAGCTGAAAAATATTCCTTGGGTGTAACAGAGACTTTCAGTTTTGTACAGTAACAGAACAGAGACTTCTTTTAAAAAAAGAGACTTCTGTGTTTTAAGCATGTTGGCAGTTCAATAATTTTATTTGGAACATAGTGTAATAAGGTTGTTTGATACCACCTGACTTTATGGAGCAAACTGTGCCGTGGGAGGCTCATGCTGGACATGTTTCTGCTCACTTACCCAGAAGAGCACTGCCTGTGGGGTTTGTAGCCATCATAAACAAGTTTCTTCCTCCTTCCCCTGTGACAGTCAGTGATTAAATGGAATTAAATAGGATTTTTACGATCATTTTTTGGTCTTGAAGGTCCCCAGGATTTTGGGCATGAATTTTCCCATCTTCTTGTCTTTGGCATCTGTGTCATATTCCTCTTCACTCGGACTCATGTGTTCGTCCTTCTTGCAGAACACCTCGAACCTGCTGTAGACTCGCTTCTCCTTCCGCATGTTCTCCATTTTTTTCAGGAGGGTGTCTCTGTCCTCCGACGGCTGCCGCTGGAAGTTCCGTTTCTGGCTCCCAAAGCTCTCCGACCTGTGGATGTTGCAGCTTTTCTCCTTCTCCCCTTTTCTCTCCAAGCTCATGGTTGACCTAGAGAGGTCAGGGTTGCTGGTGGATGGCAGCTGCTTGGCCAGCTCGGCTCTGTTCTTCTGGCTGTTGGCAGAGATCTGCTCCAGGATCACCTTGGTGTCGTCACGCAGGTTGCTGCTATACAGGATGTTGGCTGTGGAGGAAGGGAACCTCCCCTGCGTTGTCTGGCTGCTCTTGGGGGGGAGCGGTGCTGCGAATTTGTGGGATTTTTCTTCTTCCATTGCTTCCTGACAGTCCCCTATGGACGATCGTTTGAGCACCACTGCCTGCTTGTCACATTTTCCACTCTCAGAAGCGGGTTCCTCCTCAAATTTCTTTTCACCTTTTGGGTTTAAAAACTGCTTCAGTCGTAGTGACCCTTTTCTTAAAAATTCCATGGGATTTTGCTCTTGTTTTGAACAGTCTTCCTCAGATTTATTGAGAGAGCTGTCAGACCCTGGACTCCTAGACAGGCTTTCCAGAGCTGAGGATGTGGTACTTGTCCTAACTTGTGGTTTCTTCATTTCTGTGTTGACTAACTTTGGAGTGTCTTCTCTGAAGGTCACCCTGTCCTTCTTCTCTGGAAGAGCCAATTTCTGAGTGTCTCCTACATATATCAGACTCTCCTTCTCTGGAAGAGCAGGTTTGTTCTCAATCGGGTAAAACCGAGATGACAGCTTGTCCACCTTAGTGCCAAGATGTGCCAGGGGATCCTTACTCAATGCATCCCCAAGCTGGGGGGTGGATGAGGCCATTCCGAATGCTCTGTCCAACTCTCCGTGCATTTTGTAAGTACTGCAGGAGTCTTTGGAGTCCAGCACCCTGCTCTCCAGAATCTTATATTGCACGGATTTGGTACATTTCTTCTCCGTGTTCTGTGATTCCTCCTGTAGGTAACCTGAAACAGCTTTGGTGTGGGTGACTGTGCCCCGCTCCGTGTCCTTGCCCACGGCTTTGTACTTCTCCAGCAGCTCGGCCACTTTGGAGGAGGTGGCCGTCTTGATGGTTTCATTGTCCTTCGTCACCTCGCTGGACATCTGCTCTTTTTGGATCATCTGCACCTTTTCTATTGTGGTGTTGGGCTGATCTAATTTGGCAGCACTGAAAATCAGAGAGGACCTGAGCCTGGAACTCCTCTGGATCAAGGGATTTATCCTGGACCTGAAGGCATCTGGTTTCATTATCGAGGTTTCTTCACCTGCTCTATCAGGATCCGCAAATTCCTTGGCACTGTCAATTCCCAGTGCCTTGCTATTGAAAGATGTGGGGGATTTGAAGGCTGGGATGAGGTCAGTGGGGTGCTTTGGGAGGGGATCCCCAAGAGCATCGTTATACGCCTCGGACTCCATCGGCATTGGGAGCCCTTCATCCGGTTCAGACTGGTATGCGCTGAGGTACGAAGATATCCTCCAGTTCCGTAACCCTGTTCTGTTCTCCTGTGTGTTCTTGTCATCGTCCTGGTCCTCGTCCTTGTCCTGTAGGAACAAGCGCTGCTCCAGGCTCTGCTTCTGTGTGGGAGAAGTCTGGCAAATGAATTTCTGTCCTATATTCTGCCTCCGTAACATCATTCCCATCGGGCCATTGCCTGCAGGGTTCAGCTGGTCGGAGCCGTGTCTCACCTCCCTGGAAGAATTTGAGGGTACGTAATCCAGCCGTAAGGGGAAACCCTCCTGTGAGAAACTGGGTTCCAGTTCAGGGTATCGGGGTCCCTCTCCATAGTCTTCCAGTTCATTGAATCCCGGCCTTCCCCCTCGAATCCTCTCAAAGAATCCCTGAGGTCTGCCAGAGAGATGGGGATGTTCAAACTGGTATTGGTAGAACTGGTCCTTCTGGAAATGACTGGATTGGATTTTGAATTCATCCATGTTGTTCATGAACATCTGCCGCGCATACTGCTTGGAAGAAGCAAAATTTTCAAATGTTCCTTCTGCAAAACTGTGTCTCTTAAAGGCATCCAGCTCTAGCTGCTTGGAACGGAGGAAGCCCCTGACCGGATCCATCTGGGAATTCTCCATTTCCACCTTTTTATACATCCGCATGGCTGACCCCTCCACGGTGTGCCGCAGCATGTCATCCCGCCGAAAATTGGAGAGGAAGTACCTGTCCGGATCCACTCTGTCCATGAAGGAGGGGAACAGACTGTCATCCCTCTGGAACATCAGGGGGCCTTTTTTGGGAAAGAAAGGCATGTTATTGCCAAAGGGAGCCATGGCGAAGGCATTCTCTGCCTTTGCCAGGACATTGGCTGGAGGAACGAGAGGTTCCGACTGTGCAAACAAAATGCGGAATTCCTCATCAAAGCTGGCCACCAGCTCGCCCTGGAAGATGTGCGCGATGCTCCTGTGGATCTTCTCAAAGGACCACATGAAACTACGGAGAGAACAGAAGTGATGGAGGGTATTAGCATTGAGTAACTCAGCTGTACCCCTTTTTATTAAAGCGTTTGCTTGCCTGAAGGAAATTCTGAATTTTCTGCTCAGGTAGAAATATGGCAAAATAATGACAGAAAATTCCCCTGCGGCCACTTGTTACACATGATCGTTCCCTAACCT